TGTAAAATGTAAATGCTCCGTACTTGTATAGTGCCTTTCTAGTCTTTTCGACCACAAAGCGTTTTTACACTACATCTGCATTCACCAGTCACACACATTCATACACTGAGCCTAAGTGCTCCAACGGAAACTAACATTCACACTCACTCATACACTGGCGGAATAGCCGCCAGGGGCAATTCGGGGTTCAGTATCTTGCCCAAGGACACTTCGACACGCAACCAGGGGGAGCCAGGGATAGAACCTGAGCCACAGCCGCCCTCATATCAGTCCAACACAGCAGCTTTCATTCATTCTTTCGGCCGGCTACTTCCATCAGATGCAGTCGGTGAGATGGCTGGATGTGCAGGCTTTATTTTCCTTTGCTTGCTTCATTAGAGACTTTGTGCAGTTTAGTGGCTGACTCCTTATGGGCCTTTCAGAGAGACTGCGATGACCGCACTGCTGCGCTGTGAAAACCATTATTTTCATTGGCTTGCACCACGCCACACCGGTTCGTTGTTGCGTTGATCAAATTGCACTGTTCGGCAACCTGAGCTGCGCGACTAGCGCAGCGCAAATCGATTCCTTTCTGAAAGGGCCATAAGGCGACGTCTTTACTATGTTTTATTGTCACCTATTTGGACTAAACAGGAATGAGCAGCCTCAAATGTGACTGAATAGAAATGACGATAAACGATGGAAAAGGGGTTTATCACAGACAGGCTCTCCGACTCTCTCTGACTTTAATTGTCTCTATAATAAAAGTTAAAAGAAATAAAAATCTTTCTAATAAATGAAGAAAGTTTGTTGTTCAGACCTACAATGAACTGAGATGTTTACCAGACGGTTAATCATAAAGCAAATCAAATACAGTCTAAGACTTTGCAGTGATGCACGTGAGTTTAATGTGTTATCTGTCTTGATGCATCAGATCAGTCCGATCAGCTGCAACATCCAATCAATATAACGGCTACACTGTAAAGGGGGCGTGTCGGTCAGTAAAAGACTGAAATCCTCGCTCCTCAGAGTGAAAATAAGAGCTTTGGGACGGTCTGCAAGATGGCAGAGTGGAACAACTTCCGGTTCAAGCGAGGAGCGAGTAAACGACAAATAAGAGACTGGAGAAGCTCCCAATGACAAATAAATCTTTGGAACTGACTGCTGCACACATTTGCCCAGGAGGTGGCAGTATTGTACTGTGAGGCACTATTCTGACTAGTTCTTCTAGGAAATGTGTGTTTAGCACAAAGTCACTGAAAAGGCATTGGAAAAGTAAGTATACTGCTAAACAATGGCCTGCTTTGCTTGAGGACAAGATGTGGCCTGATGATTTACAGACATTTGCAAAGGATTCTATCAAAATAGCCAAAACCTGAGAAGAATCACCAGCTTGTGTCTGTATTTTGTGACATATTTCTTTTTATTAACACGAGGCCTTCATAATGGTTGTCACACTTGGTAATGACAACACTTTACAGGTTTTTTGTCTGTATTGGGAAAAAATTGGACCAAAATGGACGTCCATCTTGGGCCAAAATCTAACATGACATACATAAATGACAAAAAATACAAAGTGAATGTAGCCAAAATTGCAGCAACTCTCTTTGTGTCCTAAATAATGACCACGAGCGATGGACCTGATTTAGTCCGAGATAGAAGGAAAGGACACATTTTGCAGAACATTTAAACTTAAGTACATTTTGTTGAAAATACTATATAAACTATATTTATGTATTACTTTACGTAGACCAAAACATTTTAATATGGTTTAAAGTAGGGCTGGGTGATATGGACCAAAAAGTCACATCCCGGTACCGTTAGGCCGAATACCGGTATAGATTATATACCGTCTCTCCCTCCCTGTATCGCTCCGGTGACTTTCTCCATCAGTACTAGGCTACGTTACATCAAGCCGCCGAATAAAATCAGAACTTTTCCACCCGCGATTCCGATCACAGCAGCAGCTGCACTGCATGTTAAGGAGGCGTGTTGACAACGCAGCCTTTCAAAACAAAACCAACGTGGTAGCTAACAAATGACACCTCACTGGTGTGTTCACTGTCGCTTTGCCTGGTCCGTGCTTGTAAAATATACATCATGTCGGTCGGGACTTGTAACGTAATAACAGATTTTTCTCTGAAAAATGCTACAATGTGTCGCCAAATACACCTGGGTGGTCGTTAATATACCTGGGGGACCCGCCGAAGTAAAGTATATGGACTGAAGCGTTTTTCTTTTTACAGGTCTTCAGCACTGTCTCTCGCTCCATGGTGTTAGAGAGTTTGTGAGTAGACGGCTGCGTGCAGATGCAGAGGGAGGGGCGGGGCTGCGCGGTGAGGGAGAAGATGAGCAAACGCTGGCAGGACGTTATGGAAACATAATAATTAACTCATCATTAAACTATATCATATAAACGGTATTGTCTAATTTTATATCTCTTTTGAAATGATATCGGTATACCTCATTATACCAATATACCACCCAGCCCTAGTTTAAATAGATGGAACCAGGTCCCAGCATGAAACACAGAGTGACCTATGTCGCTAAGCACCTTCAAATTTCCTTTAGCAAAAATGCATCATAGACAAATATCTTAATCTCTCCAATACTGACAGCAGAACCGACAACATCTGAAGAAATAAAAAAGTTGTCTTTGTGATATTTATTAAAAGTAAGAATAACAATAATAAGTAAGAGTGATTCAGGTCATACACCAGAGGGCCATTAGAGAATCTGATCTAGAGAAACAGATTATAATAGATTATTATGATGTGATAATTGTGGAGTCTAAGAGAAAAGCCTTTCAGCCTTGAGCCACAGTGGAAACTCCTTTCTCACAGGAAAGGATAACAGAACACTGGTACAGTGTAAATTATAACACCACATAAGATGAGCAAAGCACATAAGGTAATGACATATAGAGGATTATTAACAGTACATAACAGCAGTGGGAAAACGTGTTTGCGCCCTTGCTGATTTCTTATTGTTGATTACTGCCACACCTGTTCTCAATCAAGAAGTCACTTAAATAGGACCTGCCTGACAAAGTGAAGTAGACCAAAAGGTCCTCTAAAGATAAACATCATGGTGCAATCCAAAGAAATTCAGGAACTAACGAGAAACTGATCAATGGAGATGTATCAGTCTGGAAAATGTTATAAAGCCATTTATAAAGTTTTGGGACTCCAGTGAGTTGGAGAAAACATGGAACAGTCGAGAAAATTCCCAGGAGTGGCCGGCCGGCCCAAATTACCCAAAGACCGCAGCGATGACTCATCCAAGAGGTCACAAAAAACCCACAACAACATCCAAAGAACTGCAGGCTTCACTTGCCTCAGTTAAGGTCAGTGTTCATGACTCCACCATGAGAAGGAGACTGGGCTGAAATGGCTCCAAGACAAAAGCAAAAAGAAGAGCAAAAAGAACATAAAGGCTCGTCACAGATTTGCCAGAAAACATCTTGATGATCCTCAAGACTTTTGGGAAAGTAATCTGTGGACTGACGAGACATAAGTTGAACTTTCTGGAAGGTGTCCCATTACATCTGGCATAAAGGTAACACAGCATTTCAGAAAAGGAACATCATTCCAACAGTAAAATATCGTGGTGGTAGTGTGGTGGTCTCTCCAATGTGGCTGAAATACAACAATTCTGCAAAGATGAGTGGGCCAAAGTTCCTCCACAGGCTGGAAAAGACAATTGCAAAGGAAAATTGCCAGTTACTGCCAACGCCTGATTGCAGTTGTTGCTGCTAAGGGTGGCTTAGGTTTAGGGGGCAATCACTTCTTTACACAGGGCCACGTAGGTTTGGAATTTTCCCCCCTTAATAATTAAAATCATTCATTCATTTAAAAACTGCATTTTGTGTTTACTTGTGTTATCGTTGTCTAATATTTCAATTAGTTTGATGATCTGAAGCACTTTAGTGAGACACACATGCAAAATAAATAAGAAATCAGGAAGGAGGCCAAAACTTTCACACCACTGTAGGTCAAATATATTTGTTTCCATTACATCTCCCCCTTTGGCCGTCCCATGGTCACATTACGTTTGAACTGTTAGTTCATCAATGAATGCTCTCATCTTACGGTTTAAGCAGACACATCATTGGTAGACAAAAGAAATAAGTTTAAGCTACTTTTGTAGAACAGAGATATTCTTGAGTAGTGAGCAAGCTAGGGCATCAAAACATATTTATTTTAAGCAGTTTGGTCAAAATCATCAATGTTGTCATTGTCATGATCAGGTGCATTCAATCAGGTGAATCGTCAGGAGGGAGGCAGAACAGGAAGTGACTGGGTGGGTGTCCCTCAGACTGATATATTTACATTATATTTATACAACACATTAATTACAAGGACGCATTAACTGTTACAAAAAGTACAAACAAGCCACAGAGGAGATGGTGCAGGAGCCATGTTGACAGCTTCAGTCTGCTTCTTGAAGAATCAAAGAGTATGAGTCTGAACTCAAGCCTCACATACTACCTCTTTGTTGGAGCTTTGGACCACATCCCATGGCCTTCTTAAAGAGTTTCTAAAGCCTAAAACCTCTATTTCAGCTGATAACCACTGTGTTTGGGTATTTAGCAGTGTTGGTGATGGATTCAGGTCCAAATCTTGAAACCTTACCTCAAACTATTTGAATTCTACATATAGTGGTATAAAAATGCAGTGACTGCCCTCTACTGGTTGAAACCTGGCTACTGTAGTTTAAATTTGCTATTGGCTGATAAAACCTCCGGACCGACGCTTTCCAGCACTTTCCAAATCAAACTTCCTCAGCTGTCATCACATGACGTTAGTCCAGCACCATCACATGATAACAGGTGTTTGTATTCAGAGCAGGAGGAAACAGCTAGCTCAACTCTGTGAAAACTGTCACACTGATGCTTTGTGAATGGATTTGTGTCTTCTAAGGGTTCTCCTGTCAGTATTAGATTTGCCACATTGGCCAGAGCTGTACGGGTTTCTCTCCAGTGTGAACACGTCGGTGGATTTTTAGGTGATCTAATCTACTGAAAGTTTTTCCACACTGTTCACAGCTGTACAGTTTCTCTCCAGTGTGAACACGTTGGTGGATTTTTAGGTTACCTGATTCAGCAAACGTTTTTCCACACCGTTCACAGCTGTACGGTTTCTCTCCAGTGTGAACACGTTGGTGGATTTTTAGGTCACCTGATGTAGTGAAAGTTTTTCCACACTGTTCACAGCTGTACAGTTTCTCTCCAGTGTGAACACGTTGGTGGATTTTAAGTTCACCTGATGTAGTGAAAGTTTTCCCACACTGTTCACACCAGTACGGTTTCTCTCCAGTGTGAACACGTTGGTGGATTTTTAGGTTACCTGATGTAATGAAAGTTTTCCCACACTGTTCACAGCTGTACAGTTTCTCTCCAGTGTGAACACGTTGGTGGATTTTTAGGTTACCTGATGTAATGAAAGTTTTCCCACACTGTTCACAGCTGTACAGTTTCTCTCCAGTGTGAACACGTTGGTGGATTTTTAGGTGATCTAATCTACTGAAAGTTTTCCCACACTGTTCACAGCTGTACAGTTTCTCTCCAGTGTGAACACGTTGGTGGATTTTTAGGTGACCTGATTGAGCTAACATTTTCCCACACTGTTCACACCAATACGGTTTCTCTCTAGTGTGAACACGTTGGTGGATTTTTAGGTTACCTGATGTAGTGAAAGTTTTCCCACACTGTTTACAGCTGTACGGTTTCTCTCCATTGTGAACACGTTGCTGGATTTTTAGGTGACCTGATCTACTGAAGGTTTTCCCACACTGTTCACAATAGTATGGTTTCTCTCCAGTGTGAACACGGTGGTGGATTTTTAGGTTACCTGATTCAGCAAACATTTTTCCACACTGGTCACACCAATACGGTTTCTCTCTAGTGTGAACACGTTGGTGGATTTTAAGTTCACCTGATGTAGGGAAAGTTTTTCCACACTGTTCACACCAGTACGGTTTCTCTCCAGTGTGAACACGTTGGTGGATTTTAAGTTCACCTGATGTAGTGAAAGTTTTTCCACACTGTTCACACCAGTACGGTTTCTCTCCAGTGTGAACACGTTGGTGGATTTTTAGGTGACCTGATTGAGCTAACATTTTCCCACACTGTTCACACCAATACGGTTTCTCTCCAGTGTGAACACGTTGGTGGATTTTTAGGTGACCTGATTGAGCTAACATTTTCCCACACTGTTCACACCAATACGGTTTCTCTCTAGTGTGAACACGTTGGTGGATTTTTAGGTGACCTGATCTACTGAAAGTTTTCCCACACTGTTCACACCAGTACGGTTTCTCTCCAGTGTGAACACGTTGGTGGATTTTTAGGTTATTTGATCGAGAAAAAGATTTCCCACACTGTTCACAGCTGTACAGTTTCTCTCCAGTGTGAACTCTCTGATGAATCTTTAAATATCCAGATGTTGTGAAGGATTTGTCACAGTGCTGACAGCGGTGACGTTTCAGTCCATCTCTTCTTCTCTATATCAACAGAGAGAAACACAGTGAGATGTCATGGTGGAGTGAGCTATCTAAAACCATAAATGATATTAGAGCACATCTTTTAAATCACATACTAACCTACTGTACCACATAGTGAGTATGTAGTCTATTACATACAGTCATACACACTTAGTTTGTACTGCATACTAAAGAGATGATCAGTATGCTATTACCATGTATGACCGACTGTTCACACTGAAGTACTCAAGCCAAATGCGTGAAGGGTACATTTGATCTAATGAAGAATAAGGAATTAAGGTAAAACTAGAAATGCACATGTAGAAAGTGTGTAAATGCAGACAGCTATAATATCAGTGTTTAGCATTACAGTACACACCCTATTGTGCCATTTATTTTTAAGTACTTCGCAAGGGTGAAGTTAAATATATTTTTGTTTAAATAATCTCTTTGATTAAATGTACTGTTTCTGTTATTTGTCCATGCTGATTTGAAATGCTGTGAAGGTATTATTCTGATATTTTTCTTATATATTGTGTACTTTCTCGTTGTGGCGTTATAATGTATGTATAGTGTTGTAAAGGGGAAAATGAATTGTTTAATTGTGATATTTTGTAAACATGTTAATATAATGTTCATGGTAAATACATTAAAACATTGGACTTGACTGAATCTACATTGTGTCCGTGTTGTACTTTCTATTTCCCATTTTACAGGGGTCAAAATGCAGAAATGTCAAATTTCCTACATTTTTTAAAAGTCCAACCCTGTCTGTAGCCACCAAGTAAGTTCCTGTTGCCAACTGGGGGCTTTTATTTATATAGGTAAAGTTCTTTTCACACATGCAATTTGCTTCTGACTCATCACCTTAAAAGTTCAATTAAGTGAACTTTAGTCTTGCAATGTTGTTTTGATGTGTAACATTACCGGCGCTGGTCTCTGTGCTGGTGTTTCAATAAAGGCGAAACTTAGCGGTTTGACACACGCTGTCATATCGAAGACAGCGACAGACAGGAATTTGTGGCTGTGTGGGCGGAGTCAGATATTCCGCAGCGCTGCCCTGTCAATAACCCATTTTACACATTTATACATGTATTAAAACAATATATTTATTGTCTGTCAGGAATATAGTTATTGTGAATTGTCCCTTTTAAATAGTTTTATAGTATTTCAAGAAATTTTTTTCATCTATTACATGACATTAATTAATTTAGCGGATGCTTTTTTCCAAAGCGACTTGAGTTAAGTGTCTTGCTTAGGGACACATTGGTGGATGTGTCACAGTGGGGAATTGAACCTGGGTCTCTTACACCAAAGGTATGTGTCTTGTCCACTGCACCATCACCACTCCTATCCACCATTACACAATCTTTCTGATGACAAAATGTGGGTAACACTTTATTTTAAGGTGCTTGTAGTAGGCAGTAATAAACAGTTAATAACACACTAAATTAATAAATACTTTATTATGCACTTATTAACCATAAACAATGCTCCTTCATAGCTACCTAAACTAAAGTGGGAACAGTGTCTTATTTAAATTAATAAATCATTTATTATGCACTTATTAACCATTAACAATGCTCCTTTGTAGCTACCTAAATAAAAGTGGGAACAGTCTTATTAAGATGAGTAAATGTTTATAAAAATAACTAATACCAGAAGGATGTGTAAAAATATTTAAAACGTTAGTGTTATAGTTGTGAAGCACAAAATCATACTCTAAGACATTTTTTTGTGGAAAATGAATTTTTTTTTACATTTCATAACTCATGTTTCATTACTTTCAACTAAATGCAGCAACAAAAAGATTATATTAAACTTCCACTCAAACAAGTGTAAAAAAAGTTCAATTACAAATAAGTTTTCTTTAACATTAACTAAACAATATTATGAAAACATTTTGTAAGGCAACGGATTTTCTTCAATATAAAAATTACATTGTACAGATTTTTCAATACAAGTGTGTTTTTCAGTCCTCAACCTTCAACAATGTCTGTATGGCTTTTAGGCCAGTAAGATGACCTTGAGATCGTGGCTCTCCAGCTCCACGAAGATCTTCAGAAAAACCTTAAAAGGTGTATTTCAGTTTCTTTGGATAGTTTAGTACCAAGCCATAAATAAGGCCCATTGGGTTGGTGCAAGCCTGTGCTACAATGGGAATACTAAACAGGACCATCGCTCCTGCAATGGCTATTCCAGCTTGCTTCTCCCTCAAGACCTCCCTCATTGATTTTTCTTGACCACAAATATGTTGAGTGCAAATGTGAAGGGAGGGCCTCTTGGATGGCTGAAGCATTGTTGTCATCACGAACCTGTGAAATATACCAGAGATAATTAAACCTACTTTTTTTGCTAGATGTTAAGAACACATCTATCTCTTTGCTCTCCCTCTGAGCAGAAATCTGGGTGGGATTAGGTAGTTGCTGTGGTAGTTTTGAGCAGTGTTGGGATTGTAATGGGAATTTCATGAGAACCATCTTTAAAACACTGTATGTAACCATGTAACTAATTTCACTAGGGGCCTCTTGGGTATGGGGTCAATGGAAGGTAAATGTGTGTGATGCTTTAACATATGTCCAGAGGGGTCAGGACTTTAAGTGGTTCACCACATGTTCCTTGGACATGGGTTTCTTTCTATAGATCCCCTAGGGAACACTGAAAGACACCATGTTCCTTTGATGAGATAGAACTCCGACCCTGAGACTAAGATAAAAGCTGCATCAGCTGTTACACTGCAGCTCACTTGGATGATACTCTCTGATGTGTATGTGTCCCCGTTAGTTCCTTCTGCAGAAGACATGAATAAAATGTGTAAGAAGTGTTTGCCTGAGCTGTTTATTTAAACACACTTTTCCCACCACAGGATTTAAGTCAAGAAATGTGTGTGTGCATCAGAAATACTTAACCTGTGAACCTTAATGTTTTTCTCACGTGGGTTTGCCTACATTTATAAACAATAAATATCTTGTGTGAACTGAAAAATATTTATGTGGAGAGAGTCATGTACATATAAATCGAGAAAAAAATGTACCTGGTAGTCCTTGATAAACTCCTCTGTCTTTTCATCAAGGTAGAGAATGAGGCCTCTGATCACAGCTTCTCTTCAGGACTCAGTGCTGTCCTACAAATATATGAAATACGAGATTATCTTACAGTACAGATATCAACATGGCGCTGTGTATTGCTGCCTTGGTGTTAGGTGCGCTTTGTTTTGTCTTGTTTTTGTGTGTTAACTCAGTTTTTGGCTGTGATTCCTGGAGATCTTTCACCAGAGAAGAGCTCATGAACATCAGGGGAACAACTCCAGTGGATTTATTTCACACTTTTCTCTTTTCTCTTTTATTCATCTTCTGTTCTGTGCTTCACAGAGACGTGGCTGTGTGAACTGATACCGGACTCCGTGCTGCAGCTGGCAGGCTTCCAACTGTACAGAGCGGACCGTGTTTATTTACGTGGAAGTACTAATACCTCACTGTATAAATATTATGCATTGTATGCATAAGTAATGCAAAGATCAGGAAAATGTACTACTTAAGTAAAAATATGTATAATCAGGAAAATGTACTTCTTAAGAAAAAGTATGTATAATCAGGAAAATGTACTAGTAAAGTAAAAGTATAATCAGGAAAATGTACTACTTAAGTAACAGTAATCAAATCAGAATAAAAAATGGTTGAGGTAGAACTATTCTGTATCACACTGCAATCAATGATATTATTCATTATGGAATAATCTGCTAAGTATTTTCTCCATTAATTGATTGTAAAAAAGAAAATAGTGAGAAATGTTGTCACATTTGCCCAGAGCCCAAAAGTGACATCTTCACAATTCTTGTTTTGTCAGTCCAAACCTCAAAACTATAAAAACAAAATTACATTCAAATCATTTAAAAGGAAAATCTGCAGTTCTTCACACTGAAACTGGAACATGAAATGTTTTTACATAAGAATGACTTAAATGATCAATGCCAATTACATTTCTGTCAATCAACTAATGTACTAGCTGTCCACAAGTGTTAACGTTACTTACAGGCTACATGAATTTTGAGCTCTGATAACAGTTCAAACCTAATCCATTATACCCTATAATGTGAGGACAGCTTGTGATTAAGCATAATAAAAGTTCTTCTGAATGATACTTACTTTAACATGTTTGAGCGAGTCCACCGCTGTTGCATGACCCATAAACTGGGATCCAAAATACCTTGACTGGGCCTGGTCACCGACCCAGTAGAGTAGGTGAAGGTCTAGCTGGTTGGTCTTTGTTGTTTTGTTGAGGCTTTCGTCAAACATGACAACAAAGCAGGTGGCCTTGCTGACTTGGTCAGTCAGCTGTTTAGTGGTGAACGCAGCCAGACCACGTTTGGTGGTGTACACCGTCTTGTTGTATCCACATGTGAAATTAGCCGCAATCTCAGAGTCAGGAAACACTGTTTTGAAAATTGCGCTAATTTCATCAATTGAAGTAAAAGAGTGGTGGTCCAAAATGGTTTTCAGGATCTATACCACCTCTGCCCAAAGAGTAACGTTATAGCCACAGTGAGCTTGCAGGTTCACAGGCTGTACTACCGATAATGCGATGTCTTCAGTATTGCTAGCAGTAGCACAGAACTGACCTATAAGAACCTGCTGTTGGTGGGCTGTAGCACAAGCGATGTGTTTGGCGCTCTTCATATTGGAGTCCAAAGCCGTAAGTCCCATCGTCCCCAGGTTAAAAGATTTTCAGTACAAACAGCATTGGGCCTCATGGTCATTGCCTGGATTAGGTTTAACGCATTAACCCGTTAAAATGGCACATGCCCATTCTGAGGCATACTAAGCTAACTCAGGTGAAAGACTTTTATTTTGTTTCCTTAATACTCACTGATTTGCGCACACTCTGCGGTAAAAAGTATACTGTCGTACCCTACCAACAGAAAGTCAGCTGACATGCGCTTCCTAAAACGTATAAGGCAATTGTAATGTTATACACATACACACACACAAAACATTTTATATATATATATGACAGTTAGTTATGACATTATGGCATTTATTGTCCTACAAAAGGACAACAAAATTTAAGGCCTCTGTAAACAAAATGTAATAGGCCTTATTTTTAGAATATAAAATGTAAGACTTTTTTAATACTTTTAAGACCCCGGAAGGGTCTGCTCCTCTAAAGGTTAGGCCTACGTCTAAAGCTAGTAAGCAACCCTGGATAAATGACAGCATTCGCAGCCTAAAAAGGGAATGCAGGAAAGCAGAGCGCAGATAGAAAAAATCCAGTCTCCAAGTCCATTACCTCAGTCTGAAGGATTTATTAATTAACTACAATAACATGGTTAAGGATGTTAATTGAATTTAATTGAATTACCCCCGCAGCCTCTTACTCAGAGGTTCCTCACCAGCAACAAGAGAGTTTTAACCAGTTTTATCCCATCAACTTGTCTGAGCTTTTAAAAACAGTATCACAAATGAGAGTGTCCTCCAGCCCACTTGATGTAATACTTAATAAGTTTTTACTGAATGTAATGGATTCTGTTGGGCCCCATTTGATCTCTGTTTTTAACAGCTCCCTATCTACTGGTTGTGTCCCTGATTATTTTAAAACAGCTTGCATGAACCCACTTTTAAAGAAACCTGGTTTAGATCCCTCCCTCCCACAAAATTTTAGACCAATTTCAAAACTGCCTTTTATTGCAAAGATTCTAGAAAGAATTGTGTCCAAACAGCTGCTCACTGTGCTGGAAAATAACAAAATATTTGAAAAGTTTTTTCATCCTACCTGTCAAATAGGAAGTTTTGCGTGTCTGTAAACAACTATGTCTCTTTGTTCTGTCCAGTTAAATATGGTGTGCCTCAGGGGTCGGTTTTAGGACCCATTTTGTTTTCCTTGTATCTGCTTCCCCTTGGACATATTATCCATAAACATGGTATTTCTTTTGATATTTATGCTGGTGAAACACAAATATACTTGCCCGTCAGATCCACAGACCCTGGAATGCTGAGTTCACTTAACAACTGCCTTTATGAAGTAAAAAAATGGATGTCAAATAATTTCCTCCAGCTGAACTCAGACAAAACAGAAATCCTGGTCATCGGGTCTCAGCAGATGGCAAATCAAATACTGCCATCTGCTGGTTCCCTAGTAAATCACATTAAGCCTGTGGCAAAGAATCTTGGTGTTTGGTTTCATAGTAATTTAATTCGAGAAGCACACCACAAAGCTTGTTCAATCATGTTTTTATCAACTTAGAAATATGGCTAAAATTCGATCTATGTTAAATTTTAAGGACACAGAGACCATTTTACACGCCTTCATCTCATCACGCCTGGATTATTGCAACAGCCTTTTCACCTGTTTAACCCAAAAATCTATTGATCGACTCCAGACTGTCCAGAACTCAGCTGCCAGGCTTTTAACCAGAACAAAGCAATATGACCACATTACTCCTATTTTAGCTTCATTACACTGGCTCCCAGTATGTTTTAGAATTGACTTTAAAATTCTAGTGATCACTTTTAAAGCTCTTCATGGCCTCTCGCCTTGTTATATTTCTGAACTTTTAGTCCCATACGCACCAGCACGTACCTTGAGATCCTCGGGCAGAGGTCTGTTGTCTGTTCCAGAGTCTCGACTGAAAACTAAAGGGGACAGAGCGTTTGCTGTCAGGGCCCCGAGGCTCTGGAACAGCCTGCCCGAGGAAATCAGGTCGGCTGAGTCAGTGAACTCTTTTAAGTCCCTTCTTAAAACATACTTTTATAGGAGAGCCTTTCCCGATCTTATTTGACTTTATTTTATCCCTTTTATTTTATTCTATATTACTAATTTTATATTAATCTGTATTTTAGTCTTTTCAGTGTTTTCATGCTCTTATCTTGTTTTTTTTGTATTATTCTTTACACTTGTTAAAGCACTTTGTAACTTGTTTTGTGCTCTACAAATAAGGATTATTATTATTATTATTATTATTATTATGACAGCATCACATTGTTGCATTTTTGCACCACTAGCTTATTTACACAGCGCCAATCAGGTCAGGGTGACATGTCATGTGAGCACCCTGGACTGTGTAAATGATTATCATCCCTTTGCTCGGGGCCAGCCGCCCCAAGCCACCCTAGGCGGCAGGTCTCTGGACCAGCTGTATATGTGTTGTAGTATTTCTCTGTTTATGCTCTTTTGTTAATAAATTCTTCAAAAACAACGGTTGGTTGTAACTCAATTGTTTGCTCAACCCCTCACCAGCAAGATACAATTTCCACAACACTCGCAGCCATTAATACTGCCCTGAGGAAATACTCAGAGGAAAAGTAATGCATTCAGAGTTTTCCTCCAGTTAAAGGGCAAAAATGACATGTTAGCACTTTCTACACTTTTGAATACTTTGTTCTGTAATATTACTTTATTTGTTGATCAAATATCTGTTGTGTAAAGTTTTCATGTACTTGATTACTTTCTTCACTGGAGTCACTCCCATGTTTTTCCTTCTGTGAAGCAGCAGTAACTAAACTCTGAGAGAAGTACTTGTACTGTCCTTAATATTTCCATGTAATACTTTCTATCTTTGCAGATCAAAGCGTGTGATAAACATGAAGCTTGGTGACAGATTCAACTCCTCAGCAGCACATCCAGCTGATGGAAATGATCCTGTTAAAGTTCCAGTGACTCTGAAACGCTGCTCACATGTTAATGCCTCTGGAGTTCCTCCTGTTAGTTCACTTTGTTAATCAGAGTTCAGACTTACTTTAACAACTTGTTTTTACTCCAACAAGCTAACAGCAGCTAGCAACAAGATGAGATGAGCAAAGAGGCATTAAAGAGTCCAACCTGTCGGTCAAATTACCTTTACACGGAGAAGAGAAGAAGCTGCGCCACGAAGAAGGAGGAAGGAAAGGAAAGAGTGAACAGGAAACAGGTTGGGAGCTGCTGTTCACTCACTGCAGGACTTATGTTGTACTTCAGCAGCACTCATTTCTTCCTGCAGCATTTCTTCACACGCACAAAACAAACCAAGCTCCAGATGAAAAGTCCTTTTGTGTGCATGCTGATTCCTGCTGACAGGAAATTAAAACGTGCTCTCACTTTGAGTCAGAGTTGGAAAGACCAATAACTCAGGAAAGATCTCTATAGGATTTATGGTTAGAACCGTCAGTGGCTCTCATCTTCACATGTCATTCAATAAGAGCTACCTACAGCTGTTTTTAAAAGCTGCAACAGGTTCAGAGGAACAGGAAGTGAATGGAAGGAAGGAAGTGATATGCATGCACCAATCCTCATCACCTCATAAGTACTGATAAGTACATTTTAATCCTGATAAGAAGTGTCCTGTTGGCCACAGCTCAGTGTAATGTAGTGTTTTAGTGACTCACCGTGACCACTGGAGGGCAGTAAACCCTCTGCTTCTTCCTCTAGGAGTCCACATCAGTCAGTCCTCATGTTCACATCTCTCTGTGTCTTTCAGAGCACATTTGGAAACTCTGAGCTTCAAATATCCAAAAGAAATAGGAGCCTAGCTGCCACTGAGGACGCTGAGCTCACGTCTACATATAGTTGTTTGAAAGCCGTCTGTTTTTTGTTTAGATGTCTGCTGAACTGACAGCCCAAACTCAGCCCTGTTTTAGCTTCCACCCATTTTCACTGTCTATCAGATGTTGTCGTATGTAGTCGTTCAGTTGTGGTCTAATTGCCACAAGAGAACTGACCTCTGTGGGCGAATCTAAGTATTCTTTCACTGACAATGGAGAAAATATCAGCCTCTAAACAGCAGGACAATGACATCAGAGGACATCTAGCTGTGCTTTTATTCTCTAACATTTACATCTATTCATTTAGCAGACGCTTTTATCCAAAGAGACTTACAGCAGCTGTATATGTCAGAGGTCGCACGCCTCTGGAGCAACTGGTGGGTAAGTGTCTTGCTCAGGGACACACTGGTGGATGGGTCACTGTGGGATTCGCACCTGGGTCTCTCACACTAAAGGCATGTGACTACAGATGAATAAGTTGGCTTCCTGCTGAGATCTCCTGTTTGTGTCGAGTGTGAGTTCACAGGAATCTGATGGAGTGAACGAGACACAATGCAAATGCTCCGTATTTGTATAGCACCATTCTAGTCTTTTCAACTACACTACATCTGCATTCACCATTCACACACATTCATACACTGAGCCTAAGTGCTCAAACAGAAACTAACACTGGAACAGCCACCAGAGGCAATTCTGGGTTCAGTATCTTGCCCAAGGACACAGGCAACCCGCTCTAACTGTAAGTTTTATTATATTTTATGCTGCTTTTAAACTTTTACATATTTCCCTGTTGCTTTTATGTTTTATGTAAAGCACTTAATTACCTTGTTGGTAAAATGTGCTATACAAATAAACTTGCCTGGCCTTACCTTGCTGTAGCTCCTGAGCCACAGACTCCTCATCAGTATAACGGCTACCTAGTAAGGGGGCGTGTCGGTCAGTAAAAGACTGAAATCCTCGCTCCTCTCTCCTCAGAAGGCAAATAAAAGCTTTGGGACGGTCTGCAAGATGGCAGAGCGGAACAATTTCCGGTTCAAGTGAGGAGCGAGGCAACAACAAATAAGAGACTTGAGAAGCTCCCAATGACAAATAAATCTTTGGAACTGACTGCTGCACACATTTGCCCAGGAGGTGGCAGTATTGTACTGTGAGGTACTATTCTGACAAGTTCTTCTAGGAAGTGTGTGTTT